AATGGTTCTGAAAAATATCTTAGACTAGAGAAGATGCTAAGTTTAACACAAGACTGTAGATTTTATGCAGATCTATTTGTTGTATACATATCTCATTTATGATTAGTAGAATTTTAAAGAGCTCTTGTTAAGACTAGTTTTGGGCGGGCTAGTTAGCATGCTAACCAGCTCCTTTTCATGTATTTGTCAATAAATGTTTTGAATTTGAATTTGACTCGACGAGTGGAGAGCAAATGTATTACCTGTCTCCCCGGTACTGGCTCAAGGCACACGCGCTACCACAAGAGTCAAATAAACAACCCTAGCTGAACTAATATTGACATAAAATATAAAACAAGGTACCAAAATTGTATGATCAGATTATCTAAATACAATGTACTATAGATGTAAGGGAAGGCTGGAGGGTAACATATTAAAATGGGTATAATGCAAGGTGTACGAACTCTCATCTGAACCCGGCACCGTGTTGATGAAACGAGTTGACGAACCATCTCTGTGCGACCCATTTACCAGACAGAGAAGTATAAGTTACAATTTCTTCCTGCACCTGACACAAAAAACTACATAATCAGGACAATGAAATAAAGGGACAAGGGGCAATGGCTGAGTCATAAGAGGATTAGCACATCGTATGACAGTTGGTATTAAAACAGTGCAGGAGATAGATAGCGAACATAAAAACCAACAGAAATTGTTGACGAAAGTTAATTATGAAACCGGGAATAATCCTAGATTCACCCGTGACAGGTAAGGCTAGGTTAGGTTATGCCAGTGCCAGGTTGTTTATTAGGTTGAGCCATGCTGTTGTTACAGGTAAGACTTCTAATCTATTACTCGTGATTAATTTATTCACTAAATAAGAATATGGACGAAAAGACCAAATTGTTGAGGCTCGGTAATACATCATAACATCAACATATAAGAGAAACATTATTATAAGGTAAACAAATATAAAAGTTTCCTTTTATTCTTCAGTTATCTCAACAGTCACCAGAGGCAACAGGAATGGAGGAAATGTAACACGACAGTGTAAGGTCATGACATTTATGTTACCTTGACTGAGTGACTGAATGACTGGTTCAGTTGTAACTGATGGTGGTGGTGACGTCATCAAAGGGTACACTATAAAGGCGGTAGGAGGCCGCCGGAGAGTCAGTCTCAACCGGACCTTCCTGTACTCAACATGCACAAAATGGTAAGCCACATAAAAACTCTTTAATGTACGTGTAATAAATTTATTGAGATTTGTGTATGTCGGTAAATCTGTATTTGTGTTCAACTTTCATTTTTTGTGATTTTTTTTTTCTTTTTCAGGTGATCGCTGTTTTGTCCGTTTTACTGTTTGTGTCGGCTGTTATGGCTGACTTTAGTTATGGTGGCCGTGGGCATGGTGGTTATGGTGGGCACGATGATGTCTATGGTGGATACCGTGATTATGGCCGTGGAGGATATGACGATTATGGCCGTGGAGGATATGACGATTATGGTCGTGGAGGTCAAAGTTATTACGGCCATGGGGGTGACGGCCACAGAGGATACGGTCGATATTGATATGGTGGTTAAAGAACGTGGAATAATTTACAAACCTTCAATAATGTAATATCTTGTCTATATTGTATTCAATAAAATCCAAAAATTTTTAATAGAATTTTCATGTACCTAAAGTTTACTAGTGATTAGTTTACCATATTTACTCTCATACCAGTACGAACTTGACTTGAGACGTGTAGTTACGACGTCTCGAGTATATCCACGACCGGAGTTATGATGCGTGATTCACACGCACATGTATTTAACCGATCGGAATTTCAATCGGTTTATTTACATATTAGTAATGGAGTGGAAAGCTTCCTCGGAATACTGAAACGGCACGAAGTAATAGAAAATTTACCGTAAACTGGACTGGTGTTTCTGAGACCGGGGTCGAGGCGGGGGACTTCATATAACACAATATGATGGTGGTGTGGGTCTGGTAGTTGAAACCAAATGCTGCCATTATCGTGGCCGGTACAGTTTTAACTCGCTGCAGAAAGGCCTGTCAGGGTAAACATTAAACAAACCAAATATAAACTTTTTATAATAAACTAATCACTGTCAAAGGTCCTGAGGAATTCCCAAATGTTTGTACGTTTTAGATAAAAATTTGACTAGAATATTGTGGCAGCTGTAGTCGAGTTGTCTATTCATTAATGTAATTTTCTTCATTATTTAAGCAAATGTACGAAAACCGAGCGCATGTGTATTTTCAGCCACAGGATTCTCCAGCCTTACGGGTAGTGGGCCACGTACGGCAAACACGTGGTAAGAGTTTATCTTCATCCATTACTTTATATTAAGGCCTCCGACTGGCCCGCCATCCAGTGGCCAGGAAAACAACTTACATGTTTTAAGGGTATAAATATGCTAGAAAAATATTCCACGAAAAGTACGTTATATAAATTAATGTCTCCATATTCCTTTTTATATTTCTTGTACATTGTTGTACACGAGCATAAATCCTAAGGGATGCATCCCCCTATAATGAAGTTAAGGGATTTCTTATCACCCCTATAATTCATGTACTCCTGCGAAGGTCAACCTTTTGGCGATTAGGAACAAAGTCAAGGGAGGACAAAATGGTTTTTAAGTTTGTTCAAATGCACTTTAAGTCGAGTCATCCTCTTCAATCACTACAATGCCAATGGATTTGATTTGTACACCACACAGTATTATGTATCAAGTGTATAATATTCACGCAAGGATTAATTGAAGAGAAGCTTTTAGTGCTCTAAGAAATATATTCACTATTTATAAGTTGTTCTAGAGACTATAAAACACTAGGTTACATGTTCTACAGTAATTAATTATATTAAATTAAGAGCTATGCTACTTTTAATGTCTAAAAACTACATTTACTGGCTAAAATTTTTTCTAAGTTCAGGCAGCAAATGTAAGAGCCATTTACAGAGAACATGAACTTCAAATTAAATAGGCAAACTGTACCAACATTAAAATATTTAGCCTTATCTAAATGTATACATAACTTAGAGTATTCACTTGTAACACATTTGTTAGATTACTGCTAAATTTTTGGGTTAATTCATGTTCATAATATTGTATCGCCCTAAGGGAGCCGAATCATTTTTTATTGGGTGCACATTAATGTTGAAGTATTATGTACAGTAATGTACACCCATGAAGTTTTTCTGGTATTAGCCGTCTAATCCTTTATTACCATAGTAGGTCATCTTATCTCGTGTGACAAATACCAGTCATGGACAGAAAATCCATATTGAGGACCTCCCTGTAAAGGTATACGAGACGTCCCAAGTCCAGCCTTTAAACTTCTTTTAGGTTGACAAAGAGTCTAGACCTACACGTCGGCGAGGCAGGATCTTCTCTACTCCCGAGGTGCTACGTGATCCTGACGATGGGTACAACGCTGACTTGTGACCAGGCGAAGGTCGTAAGACTGTATCCAGTCGAATGTCCTTCACCCAAGCCTAAACCTCCTTGTCCTAAGGAATTTTTTTGACGTCTTAGGAATCGGGGTAGACAAGGGTCGTCCGCAGACCGGTGAGTGGTGGCCTTATGGTCACCTTCGCGGAATGGGGACAGGCCCAGCAAGTAGCCAACATAAAAAAATTAACGAGATAAAGATCCACGTGCAAGCTTATACAGCGGATAACTTTGTGTTGGGAGTAATCTCCCACACCAAGATAGACCATCTTGAAAAAGAAGAGCTGGCCGAGCTAATCGGAGACCAGCTTTCAATAGTACAGAAGCTGACAAGCTTAACTGCACTGGCTGGTTATCCAAAGCACCGTATTGCTGGGATGGGGGAACATCCCTGTAAGACCGTATGAAAAAAGACCCACAAGGTGCTAGAAATGCCAGAGGTATGGCCATCTGGCAGGGAAGTGTCGAGCTCGGGAGGTTTGTGCCACTTGCAGGACACACGGGCACCAGCACACCAACTGCTCGGCGCAGCTTGTGGTGGCCCTCACTCCTCCTCCGGCCGGGAGTGTCCCAGGTGGAGGGAGGAGTGTAGGGTGGCTAAATTGTGAAGCAAGAAATAATTGAGCTACAAGGAGGCTCTCCTTGTAGTGAAGACAGATGAAAAGAAGACTCAATACCCAAACAAGAGCGAAGGAAAGACGAACGAAGCCAGATACAGTAACATTAAAATTATTATTTTTTCGACCTTTACGAAAACATACCGCAACAAGACCAGGAAGGAGAATGGAAGGTGAAAAACAAAGAACAAAAGTATGAGCTCCAAAGAAAACGACAAAGGAAAAAAACAGCTTCGACGGAAAATAACCGAAAGGCGAAGAGGCCAGTATTCTCAAAAATAAAGAAAGGTTGACAAACGATGAACTACTCGGTTAAATGAAGTTAAAAAGCAGTTAAGATTTGGTAGTGTCCAACTGTGGAACTCTATATTTATTTTGGTGTTATAGTTTGACATTATTCGAATATTGTGATTTTCATCTTATATTTAATTATTCTCAACAATTCTAGAACATTCGTGACGTTTCCCCTCCAAATACAAATTTACCTCCTCAGGTTAGGCTGAAAACGTGAGTTGTGATCGAAAGAAATGAAAGTCGATCATTTAATTAATAAGAAATAAATATAATATAATATAATTTTAACTTCCAAAACTGTATGATCAGAGACTAAATTTTCCAGGTTAGGTTAGGTTAGGCAAGCTTAGGTAATGCTTTAACGTATTCTGTGCATTGTCATAACATTGTCTTTAGATCATTCAAACATCATCTGAAAATTTGGTGTAATTCCATAAAGTCCTTCTGGTGCTTACTGTCGCCTATAACATTACCATATTGTATAATTTTGAAAATGAACCTTGGTTCACGAGTTTTGCTCATCTTCTTTGCTTGCTTTTGAAAATGTGTTTAAACTTGTGTCATGCTTACTAAATATATCTACTTGCCTTTCCTTGTCGTTTGAGAAGTAATGAAACCTCATGTCTTTATTTTTATTTGTGCCGCACACAACACACTGGTGAAACCCGTTCCTTCTCGCCATATCTGTGTAACTCAAGTCAGTCACCATGTTCAGCGGCCAAGAGTAAAGAAATCACAGCCGACGTAACTTTTCCCGTCATTTAATGAGTGCCATCTAGTGGCCAGGCGTGCGTACTATGGGGATCTACATTAAGTAGCTCTTAGACGTGCTACCTTTTATATACTTCCCTTGATCCAGCCTGTGCGGACTGGGCCGGAGGAAAGGTGCCACAAGCTAGCACTCAAAGCGAGCAACTCAAGAGAACCCTTTACTGTAGTCTCAATCTTCCCTAATGACACTTCCGTTATGGGAAGTCCTTTTCAACTTAAGGAAGGGACCCCCCCCCCCAACCCCCCACCTCCCACTGGTATGGCTCATCAGATCAACAGGACCTCAACCTCTCCCCCCATTCCTCCACGGTGGTTCCCACTAGTGGGAGTTATTGTGGAGATGCTGTGACTTTCGATGGTACTGGATTGATGGGATCTCTCCTTCAGGAATGATTTTCCAGTTCCAGAATTACTCCAGGTTTTCGTGTTTGGGATGCATTTAGTAATGTTTTCCACGAGTCCACACTTTGTGGTGATATCAGCTGGTCAATCTCTTCATCCGAGGAATGGGTGGTGATACAGCCTACACGTGGCCTCTATGATGGCAGTCTGTCGGATTCGTCCTCAGTGTTCATCTTCAGTCAGTTCTACCTGTAAAATATGACCACACATCAATATAAGTATAAAAACATTAATTTGGCTCCAAAATATAATGTATTAGGCGTATAACGCTACAAACAGTGCATTTACAAGATATTCATGCGTGATTCAGTGCATCTGTTTAAAAAAATAGGGAATGGAGTACGTGGCTCACCAGTCAACGGATGAGTGGAGAGGATAAATATTACCTGGTTCTCGTATTGGCCTAGCACACGCTACCACAAGAGTCAAACAAACAACCCGTTAAAACTATTGAGCATAAAAATATAAAACAAGGTAACAAAATTGAAGATCAGATTATCTAAATAACAATGGATGTAAAAGGAGGTAGCACAAGACAATTCCATGCATGAACTTCAACAACCCCTGCACTGCAAGATGAATGAGCGACACAATTTCAAAGGACCTATTTACTAAAGGTAAGTATAACATACCCTTCTGCACTCTGACTCAAAACTACAATTGTGACAATGACATAAAGGACAAGGCAACATGAGCTATAAGAGGATTAGCACATCGTATGACAGTTGGTATTAAAACAGTACAGGAGATAGATAGCGAACATAAAAACCAACAGAAATAGTTGACGAAAGTTAATTATGAAACTGGGAATAATCCTAGATTCACCCGTGACAGGTTAGTCTAGGTTAGGTTATGCTATGTCAGGTTAAGTTTGGTTAGGTTACGCTACGCTAAGTTGTTATAGGTAAGTATCTCTCTTAATCTATTATTCTTGGTGACTAATTTATTCTTTAATAAGAATATGGACGAAAAGACCAAATTGTTGAGGCTCGGTAATACATCATAACATCAACATATAAGAGAAACATTATTATAAGGTAAACAAATATAAAAGTTTCCTTTTATTCTTCAGTTATCTCAACAGTCACCAGAGGCAACAAGAATGG